GCTGCTGCTGCTGCTGCTTGCCCTGCAGCGACGTCAGACATGGCAGCTAATTTGTTTGGCTGTTTGTTTTGCTGCAGGTCGCTCCTGACTCACTTGCTCCGTACATTTTAGGGCGTGCAGGTAAACCCTAAACCCTAAACCCTAAACCCTAAACCCTAAACCCTTAGCCTTCGCTCTTCGCGCCTCCAGCATTCTTGACTCCAGAACGAAACTTTAAACCCTGGACTCCAGACCCTAAACTCTAAACCCTAAACCCTTGAAGCCATCTAAAGGGTCTCCCTAGGGTCTTCAAACCCCCCACCCCAAACCCTAAACCCTCAACCCTAAACCCTAAACCCTAAACCCTCGCCCACTCTGTCTGAAGCCGCAGAATTTTGCATGCAGCAAAAAGGTGACCCCCAGAGACACAAGCTGCGAAGGCAGAAGTGACTTGGTGGCGTTCCCACGCGGTAGAGCCTGAACCCAAACCCTAAAGCCTAAACCCTAAACCCTAAACCCTAAACCCTAAACCCCAAGGTTTGCACTCTTGCCGCAAGACCCTAAATCCCAAACCCTTAAACGCAGTCTCTCGGACTCTGCGCTGCAAATAACGGAAAATGTTTTCAAGTTGCTGCACTCACTGAGGGTTTAGGGTTTAGGGTTTAGGGTTTAGGGTTTAGGGTTTACCTGCACGCCCTAAAATGTACGGAGCAAGTGAGTCAGGAGCGACCTGCAGCAAAACAAACAGCCAAACAAATTAGCTGCCATGTCTGACGTCGCTGCAGGGCAAGCAGCAGCAGCAGCAGCAGCAGCAGCAGCAGCAGGAGCTGGAATACCTGCTGCATCATCGGCAAAAGCTGCAGCAGCGGCAGCAGCAAGAAGTTGAACAGCAGCAACGACCACGGCAGCAAGAGCAGAAGGAACGGTAGCGGCAGCAGCAGCAACAATAGCGGCAGCAGCAGAAGCCGCTGCAGCAGCAGTTGCTGCAACAACAGGAGCAGCAGCAGCTGCTGCCGCAACAGCAACCGCAACAGCAGCAGCGCCAGCAGCAGCATCAACAGCAGCAGCAGCAGCAGCACCTTTCTCCTGTGCTTCCAGTGGTTTAGGGGCTTTGGCCTAAAAGACCCGTGCTCGCGGAAGCCCCTATAGAGCACTCTTGCTGCTTCAGAAGCAGCAGCAATTGCCTGCTGCTGCAGCTGCTGCTGCTGCTGCCGATGCTTCTCTTCTGCCAGCTGCTGCTGCTTCTCCAGCTGCTGCAGCGCAAATTTCAGCTCCTCTATGTGACTCCTTCCCCTCCTATGTCTGCTGCTCTGCTGCTGCTGCTGCTGCTGCTGCTGTTGCTGCTGCTGCTCCTGCTGCTGCTGCTGCTGCTTCTCGAGATGCTTCTGTATCTGCTCCCTCTGCTTGAAGATGACAGCCATTGCTGCGTCTGTCTGCTGCTGCAGCTGCTGCAGCTGCTGCAGCAGCAGCTTCTTCTGCTGCTGCTCCACTTGCTGCTGCAGCTCGCGCAGCAGCAGCAGCGCCTCATGCTTCCCAAACACTCCCTTGTTAAGCCGCAGCAGCCGCCGGCAAGTGGGGGCCCCCTCAGTTTCCAGGTAGTACACCAGCTGCACAGCAGCAGCAGCAGCAGCAGCAAAAGCAGCAGCAGCAGCAGCAACGGGTGGAAAGGCTCACAGCCACTGCCTCCAGCAGCACCGCAGCCGGAAAGGAGAGCAGCAACAGCAGCAGCAGCAGCAGCAGATTCCAGACCAACACCTCAACAGCGGGTCACACCTGCAAAGGCTGCAGCAGCAGCAGCAGCAGCAGCACCAGCAGCGGCAGCAGCAGCAGCAGCAGCAGCAGCAGCAAAGTATTACCTGCTTCTTGAGGACTTGGGGGTTGTAGACTCGTCCATAAATATCATCGAGGGTCAAAAGCACCGCGGGGGGTTTGAGCCGCACTGGCTCGGGCTCTCTTTGCTGCTGCTGCTGCTGCTGCTGCTGCTGCAGCAGCAACTTGGCTGTTGCTGCGTCCAGAGACTCGCCTACTCCCAGGGCAGCCCGCAGCTGCTGCAGCGACACACGAGCAGCAATTCCGTGGGCCCCCAGTGGGGCCTCGTCTTCCGCTAGCTGCTGCTGCTGCTGCTGCTGCTGCTGGGCTTGCGGGTCCTCTTCCTGCGCCTGCTGCTGCTGCTGCTGCTGCCTGGCGAGTATCTGCTGCTTTTCTTCGTCCAGCTTCTGCAGCAGCATCTGGTAGCGCTGCTGCAGCTGCTGCTGCAGCCGCGGCTGCACCGCCCCGTAGTCCTTGAGGGCCTCGGAGTTCTGCAGCAAGAAGTCCCTTGCTGCTGCCAGCAGCTGCAGCTGCTGCTGCAGCGGCAGCTGCTGCTGCTGCTGCCGCAAAGAAGTGAAAAACCCCACAGCAGATGGCGGCAGCTGCTGCAGCAAAAACTCAAATCCAAAAGGAGCCCGCGGGGGCTCTAGGGCGTCGGGCACGGGGTGAACTGGCAGCCGCATCAATGCATGCATCCTGCTGCTGCTGCTGCTGCTGCTGCTGCTGCTGCTGCTGCTGCAGATGCGGCCGCTGCTGCTGCGCAAGTGGGCAGGAAGTAGCATGAACGCTGCGCCGCGCTGAAAAAATAGGCTGGACCTGCTGCTGCTGCAGGGAGCAGCAGCAGCAGCTGCTGCTGCTGCGGAGCTGCTGCTGCTGCAGCCATCTGCAACACACCGCAGTACCAGCAGCAGCAGAAGCAGCAAGGGGCTGGGCAGTTGCCTACATAGCTGCATGGAGACGCACAGAAGACAGCCTCTTGCTGCTGCTGCTACTCCATTGTTTTCCTTGCTGCAGGCTTCGTGCCGTTGCTGCTGCTGCAGCCCTTGCTGCTGTTGCTGCTGCTGCTGTTACTGCTGCTGCTGCCCGCAGCGTAGCGTCAATGATGCAGCTGCCGAAAAACTTTTTCAGCTGCCAGAGCCCTGTGGAGCTGCTGCTGCTGCACTTGCCGCTGCTGCTGCTGCTGCTGCTATTGTCTTGCTGCTATAAGACTGCTGTCTAGCTGTTTTTGCTGCTTGCTGCTGCTTCTGCTGCAGCAGCATGTGTACTTTTCAATATATGGAGCGGCTAGTCCTTCTGCCTGCTGCCAAGTCGGCAGCAGGCCCGCCAGGCGCAGCAACAGCTGCTGCTGTTGCTGCAGCTGATGGTGTCCGTGCTGCAGCAGCAGGTTTTCCTTTAAAATAATTCATTAATTCCACAAATGCGGGAACGTAAAGCTTCTTTACATGCAGCGGTGGCTACTTGCTGCGGCTGCTGCTGCCACCTGCATGCGCCAGCAGCAGCAGCTGCTGCAGCTGCTGCTGCTGCTGCTGCTAGCAGCAATAAAGGCATTTGCACTAAAAGTAGCCCAGAAATTTGTCTTTTCCGCTTCTACAACCTTCTCACTTGACTTTGTGTGAAGTGGTAGTAGCAGCAGCGGCAGCAGCAGCAGCTGGCACAAGCATGCTCTGCCAGCAACAGCAGCAAAATCAGAACAGCAGAAGCAGCGGCAGCAGCAGCAGCAGCAGCAGCATTTTGACACTTCCAGCAGCTGCTACGTAAGCCGCAGAGCCACTACCAACGCAGCTGTCGCCCTCAGCAGCAGCAGCAGCAAGAGCAAAAGGAGCAGCAGCAGCAGCTATAGCTGCAACTGGTCTACGAAGCGACGCTGCAACAGCAGCAACAACAGCAACATCAGCAGCAGCAGCAGAAGCTATAGCTGCAACTAGTTTAGGAAGTGTAGCAGCAGGAGTAGCGGCAGCAGCAGCGACAGCAGGAGCAGCAGCTGCAGCAACAGCAGCAGCTAATCCTGCAACTGCCGGGGCAGCAAGAGCTGCTGAGAAGCAGCAGCAACAGCTGCAGCAGCAGCAGCAGCGGTCGTTGCTGCTGCTTCTCCCGGCTAACACTTTTCTGCTGTCAACTGACCGTTTCAGAGCAGCACCAGCAGCAACAACAGTCGAGCCAGCAGCAGCAGCCGCCGCTGCCGCAGCAACCGCAGCCATCGCAGCAGCAGCAGCAACAGCAGCAGCAGCAGCAGGATGTCACTGCTGCAGGCTTCTTTTGCTTCAGACACCGAATCAGATGATGAAGAGTTTCAGGCTGCGGAGGCTCAAGGCAGCAGCGAATCTGAAGAAGCTGACGATGCTGCTGCTGCTGCTGCAGACAGCAGCAGCAGCAGCAGCAGCAGCAAAGGAGACGCTGCAGCAGAAGCAAGTTCCGCTGACGCAGAGGCTGCAGCAGCAGCAGAACAGGAGGCACGATGCGGCAGGAAGAAGTGGAAGCTTGATATGAAGTTAGCTGCTGCACTTGCTGCCGCTGCTTCACTTGCTGCTGCTGCTGCTGCACTTGCTACTGCTGCATTTGCTGCTGCCGCGTTCGTTGCTGCTGCGTTTGCTGCTGATGCAGGTGCCTTTTCTGCTGCTTTGTACCATTTCAACTGCTGCTGCTGGTGCTGCCGCATTTGCTGCTGCTGCTGCTATGCGGACTTTATTGTTGCTGCTGCTGCTGCAGGCAGAGCAAACGGAAGCAGAAACGTCTGGCGCAGCAGCAGCAGCGAGCAGCAGCAGACGCGGCGTATGCGGAGCTGCTGCAGCAGCACAAAGAAGCAATCAAGCAGTACCCTGCCTCTGTAGGCCGTTGAGCTGCTGCTGCACTTGCTGCTGCTGCTGCACTTGCTGCTGCTGCTGCACTTGCTGCTGCTGCTGCATTTGCTGCTGCTGCTCCGCTTGCTGCTGCTGCTGCACTGGCTGCTGCTGCTGCACTTCATGGTGCTATTGCACTCGCTGCTTTTGCAATTGCCGCTGCTGCGCTTTTGCTGCTACATGTACTGCTGCTGCTGCATTTGCTGCTGCTGCGCTTCCTGCTGCAGTACTGCCTGCTGCTGCTTTTGCTGCTGCTGCGCTTCCTGCTGCCGCTGCTACTTTAGCTGCGGTTGCTGCAGTTGTCCCTGTCGTGCTGCTGCAGTTGTTGGTGCTCCTGCTGCTCCAGTTGCTGCTGCTGCTGCTGCTGCTGCTGCT